TGAGAGACTTCACATCCCCCTCACTTGCCCTTCATCTCCCACAGGGTTCTCTGGTGACATTAAAGTAGTGTGCTCATCCTGGATGAACTTGACCTGGTCTCCCAGGGAAGGCGTGTTGCTGAGCCCAGGATGAGGGTCTGAGGGGTTTACTGGAGACTCCTACCTCCAACACACAAACACCTGAGAGCCCTCAAAGGAGGAGGGCCAGGGCATCTTCTTGTCCCCCGAGACCGCACTTTGCCAGCTGAACCACAGCCAGGGAGACCAAGTCTGGAAGGTAGAACCTCACCTCCAAGGTCCTGTTATACGTAGGCCAAGTGTCATAGGACCTGGTAGGGACCCTCACTTCCCTCCATCTCCCTCTAAGGTGTGGGGGCTGAAGAGCCCCAGGCCCAGCCTTCAAGGCCCTTGTGAGCATCAGGTGCCCCAAGAGCTTAACCCAGGCCAACACAAGAACCCAAGGGGTCAAATATGTACTCTTGAGGGAGAGCAGGAGTGAGCAGCGGCTCTGGGCATCACTTTCCCAAGAGCTTAACCCAGGCCAACACAAGAACCCAAGGGGTCAAATGTGTACTCTTGAGGGAGAGCAGGAGTGAGCAGCGGCTCTGGGCATCACTTTATTTTCTCAGGAACACAGCATCTCAGAAGGCACATCCACCAGGGTGAGATTTTCCCCTTCCTTTGTCCCCTCAGGGTGGGCTATATAATGTGGAGCCCAGTTCAGGCTGGGTAGAGCTGCCTGCCGCACTGAGGGTTTGCGTTGGGTTGGAGGGGTGGAGTAGGAGGGAAGGGGTGTGTTGGAGCCAGGCAGCCGGGGTCCTTGTTGCAGCCCAAAGGCTGGCTCACTTGGGGGCTGGTGGGTTGATCAAGGTGGAAATTGCTTTCTTCAGCTACAGCAGAGACAAGGGGATGGAAGAGGAGGGAGGGTTTGAGGGGATGGAGACAGCTCTGGCCTCCATCACTGAGAGTACCCTCAATGGTCCCTACTCGATGGCACAAGTGACACCGAACCCAAGAGTGACAGGCTGATCCCCAGGCTCAGCGGCAACTCTAATCCAAGGAGTAGGGTACATCAGAGTTCTTTGTAGCTCCCAATCTTTGAAAGGGAGAATGTTGGTGCCCCACCACCCACTTTGCCCACCCTGGAGACCCTAGTACCTCCACCCAGGACACAGAGCCCACAGCTCTGCCTCGTGATGTCACGAACAGCGTCTGGAGGGTCAGCAGATCAAAGAGGGTGTGTGTCTGGAGGGGCAGTTAACAGGAAATGATGGAGTCAGGGAACACCCCTGTGCCCACACCCTTCTCTGTGCCTTGGTGAGTGAAGAGCCCAGCCTGCAATGTCTAGTCTGACATTGGCTAGGTGGTAGCCAGACTCCATGTGAGAAGCAAGGCCTCACCGGTAGAAGGAATCCTTTGGTCCAGATTACTGAGCCTCTAGGATATAATGCCTGGAAGAAAACTTGGGGCCATAGCAGGTCCCTAGGCTGCTTCTGTCACCACCCCACACAAGTGCCTGCTCTGAGAGGCGGATGAAGGCGAAGTTCCTCAAATTTGGATCTCTGTGTGATGCTTAAATTTTTAAACATTTTTTGTTTTGTTTTGTTTCTTCAGAAAGGGTCTCTCTATATAGTCCTGGCAGTCTGGAACTTGCTATGTAAACCAGGCTGATCTCAAACTCACAGAAACCCTCCTGCCTCTGCTTCCCAAGTGCTGGGACTAAAGGCATTTGCCACCACTCCCAGCTTTTTTTTTTTTTAAATAATCTTATGTGTATGGGTATTTGCTTGCATGTATACCTCTGTATTGCGTGCATGCAGTGCCCCTAGACGCCAGAAGAGGGTATTGACTCCTCTAGGACTGGAGTGACAGGCAGTTGTGAGCTGCTGTGTGGTTGTTGGGAACTGAACCTTTGTCCTCTGGAAGAGCAGCC